GAAGGCAAAAAGCGGTTGATCCTGGACATCTATTGGGATACAGAAAAAGGCATCCTTCAGGTCTAATACCGAAAACCACCCAAAGTCACCAGGTATGGCAGTTAATAAGGTGTAGGGATTAGGCAGGGTGGGATGTAAATCCCGAACAATGTCATTAATGGCCCTTAAATCTTGGACAAAACGGTACTCGCCTGTATGGGGTTTCTTCACTGGCAGAATCGGAGTGTTGTACGGTGAGCGACAGGGCCGAATGAGTCCAGATTGAAGGAACCTTTTCAATACTGGCTCAATTCCCCTCAAGGCTTCCTCCTTTAAGGGGTATTGCTTCCTCCTCGGGGTTCTGCTCCCTCTATCACTTCTATTTTTACAGGCTCAGCATTTTTCGCACGTCCTGGGGTTCCATCAGCCCATACCCATTTACTTACTCTTTCAACAATTTCTGGAGGTAAAATTTCACCTTTCGGTGGAACATCTTGAGTAAGTAACATCTGGAACCGCAGAGCATGCTCTGGAGGCACCTGTAGGTGAAGCCTCTGATGTTTTGGTGAGAATATAATTCGTGCGTTGAGCTTACTTAAAAGGTCACGGCCAAGGAGAGGGATTGGACACTCTTCCATGTATAGGAAGCTGTGCTGGAGCTGTGTGGTGCCTAGCCGGCACTCCAAAGGTTGCAGGAAGGGTGTCTGTTGTGACTTCCCTGTAACCCCAATGACTGCTGCAGTCTTTTTGCTCATTTTAGTTAATTTCGAATTCAAAACTGAGTATGTTGCTCCAGTGTCCACCAAGAAATCAATCAGACGATCCCCCACAGCGAGGGTTACCCGGGGCTCTGAGGGGGTTATTCTAATGGGCTTCTCTAGATCTAGTGGAGCCCCCGGGCACCCCTATTCTGCATCTGAACTTTCTCCATGAACTATCATCTGTCTCCTCTCCTCTGCACTTGGCTCCAGATTCCTTCTACTCTGTCTGTATTCCCTCCTATCTTCACCTGAGGCTCTACCCTGTGCTGTCATTTGTCTCCTGTCCTCTGTACTGGGCTCTCGATTCCTTCTCTGTCTGTATTCCCTGTCATCATCTGAGCCTCCACTCTGTGCTAACATTTGTCTTCTTTCCTCTCTCCTTGGTTCCTGGTTCTGTGTACTCCTTCTATATTCCCTCCTGTAACCCCTACGTGAATCATCATGTCTTGGGGTTCTCTGTCTTCTATCCTGCCTTCTATAATTATTGCGTCTGCCGCTTCCCTGTAACCTGGGACAACTGTACTTCCAATGTCCCTCTTCCCTACAGAAAGCACACTGATTTCTTCCTAGGGGTTCACGTCTCTGTCCATTATTGTTTCCTTGAAACCCTGTTCTGTGTTCTCTTTGTAAAAAAACAGTCGCAGGTTTCGGTCTCCTGTGCTCTCTATTATTATAAACCCTGAATGCCAGGTCCACTACCTGGGACGGACTCATCTCAGTGACGCCGTCCACCTTAGCTAACTTTTTCTTTATGTCTGGGGCACTATGGGTAATGAAAGCCGTAGTGATCAGACGAGCATTTTCTGGGGCATCTGGGTTTATATCCGTGTGGTTAGTGTAAGTTTGAATAATCCTCTCAAGGAACTCTGAGGGATCCTCATTAGCTCCTTGCTCGAGTTGCAATATTTTGTTAAAGTTTTTTTGTTTGGGGATCCCCTGCTTCAGTCCTACCAATAAGCATTTTTTATAGAGATCCAACATCGCCGTTCCTCCATTGTTAGGGTCCCATCCAGGATCTCTCTCTGGGACAACAACCTCCGGCTCTGGGGACTGCCTATCCTGTTGGTGGAGACGGTCAGCCTCCTCCCTGGCTTTCCTGAATACCATCCTCTGCTCATCCAGCGTTAATAAAGTATGCAGCATGGACTGTATATCTGCCTAGTTAGGGCGGTGGGAGACGAAGATAGAGGCAAACAAGTTCGCCATCCTCTGAGGAGCCTGCCGGTACGAGGGAACAGAGCTCCTCCAATTTAGGAGGTCCGCAGTACTGAACGGATGGTGCGACCAAAAGTACCCAGCAGGTCTCCCATGTTCATTTAAGCCACCCATTGGCATCTGGCGAAGGGGAAACTGTCCTGCCTCAGGTTGATCCTTCCTGCCAAAATGGGTGCCGATTCTAGTGTGGGGAGGACACCATTTTAGTGTCCTCCCCAGAGGGCAGTGGAGGCTGTGCAGCCTCAGGGGTCTGCACGGGAGGGGCTTTGTCACGTGGAAGAGGATTTTGTCCTGGTGTATTTAAAGTATTTAAAATATGATGCTCCTCCTCTTCTAACTCTGCTCGCTGGCTGTCCTCATGGAAAGGGGAAGGTCTATCCTTTCTCTGCACCATTAGCCTAGCCTTCGCCTCCGCCATATCTAATTTATGGAGGGCGGCCTGCATCTGGTCCTGCATACCTTTAAAAGCTGACTCAAAAGTCCGATTTTGTTGTTGCACTTGATACAGCATGCTTTGATAAGCTGACTCAAAAACGTTACGATTTTCATCCCTTATACTCTTAATAGTTAAATCAAAAGCCTGATTTAGTTGTTGTATGGCCACGTTAAAAGCCTGAATTTGTTGTTGCACATTCTCAGTATGTGAAGTAGAACACCTACCTCTCACAGAAACAAGAATGTAGCAAATTGCGCTTACACATATTACCAAAAAACCACCCAGAAGCACAGTCTGTAAAGGGATGGCTTGTAAACCACCCATGTATGTATACAATAGTAAAATCACATGCCATACACCAGGCTTCATCAAATTATTTATATTAATGAAACTGGTGGTGATATTTAATGGAAGAAGGCTGCTCAAATTCAAGGCCGGAAGGAAACTGAAAGAACTCAGGCTAGGGATGAAACTGTATAGGCTCATGGTTGAGGCCATATTTGAGTCAAAACACACCCACAAGGGCTGTATGCACCGGGGAAAAAACAGGCTTTTCAGGACTAGAGACGAATATTATACTGCTAGTCCTGCAGAACTAGTGCGCTTATGGTGACCAACGCAAGGAATGTTACTTTGGGCTGGTCAACCGCGGGTGTAACTTGGAAACCACGCTGGGCGCCAAACTGTTGTAGAGCAACCCCGATACAAAACGGGGTGCCTGACTGTGGGTCCTCACCCGCGCGCTTAAAAGGACTTATCAATGCTCTACTGCAGGCACACGTGAAAGGTTAATAAAAGGTTTATTTACAAGGGAAGGGGAAATGAGGAAATGTACAGCTCTGGGAGAAAAGTGGGAGACAAAGTTTTAAATGAGTCCTACCCGATCCGCCGATCAGGAATCCCAAATGGCGCTCTCAGAGTTGGCCGCCAGCCAGGAGCTGTGAAGCCAGGAGGCGAGCGATCGCGAGCCAGAGAGCGAGCAAGGCCCACGTGTTTGGTTTTTATATCCAACCTGGCTGCCCAACTCCACCCTCAGGTCCCAGCCACCCTCCCTTGGTGGTGATGGGATTTGTCTTTCCCAATGTCCTGATGGCTTTAGTCTGGAGTGGGGGTGGAGTCCACAAAGCCTGTATGAGATTATCTCAGGACATCCTTTCCCCCTAACAGAGGGAGCAGGGGCAGTGATCCCGGGTCTGCTGGGGTTGGGCCACTCCCAGCTCCTCAGAGCCACTTGCTGGGACTTCGGGATCCTACATTTAGGCTCCTGTAGCTTTGTCCATTTTTTCTCCCCTGCATAGACCTACGGACCCTGGGTCCACTTATTTGCTTTCCTCCCTCCACCTTTTTTTTTCCCCCCTTTCCTTAGGGGGGCTGCGGGAGGGGCAGCAAATGCTGGGAAAAAAAGTGAGAGGCAGCCCCAGGGGCGAGGGCTGGTCATGTGTGGGCCACGGTCCTGCCCCCGCTGGCCCCGCCCCCTCTCTTTCTAAGGCATTTGTGTCTTATTCTGTGGTTTTGAGACACAGGGCAAGCTAGGAATTAGGCAGTTTTAGGGACACTGCAGGAAGGGACCTCGGAGAATTGAGGAAGGCTTCAGAGATAAGGGCAGCAAGAGGAATGTAACTAATTCCACCTGGAAAAACAAACATCCCAGGACCAAGGACAACATTGTTAATGCTAGTCCTGGTTTCCTTCAGGTGGTAAAGGGAGGCAGAGATTGGGGAAATGGAGAGTGGTTTAATTTATGGACACATTAGAAGGGCAGCTGTTTAACTTCAATGCAGGGATGCCCATCCAGAGGACTGGGCCATAAAGATAAAGATGCAACAAATGGGGAAAGACAGACCTGTTAGATAAGGAATGTGAAGATCCCCCACTCAGTAGCAAATTAAGTGAGACAGCCGAGAACTGACCAATCACAAAGAGACTGGTGGAGCTTTAGAATAATCAGGGAAAGGAGGTACATATTCCCTGAGACACGACTCCACTTTGACTTCCTTGCCCCTCCCAGGCCTGGTTCCCTGGCCTGGGAGTCCCACTTTATTTCTGTTCTTTTTCTTCTCAATAAACTTTTTCTAAACAAACCTGCATCTTCTCACTTGCTTGCCTGAGCGTCTGCGAAGTTCCTGCTGCGGCTTCGTGAGACACCAACCGGTGGGGGTCTAGTGGCTGGGGCTCAGCGCTGCCCTGCAGCGTGGGATCGGTTCCTGGCTGGGAGACTAGGCCTGACAATTCCGGTATCAGTTTGTCATAAGTTTTTGTGAAAATTCATCCTCTGAACAAGAAGTTCTAACAAAAATTGTGTTACCTTCCCCAGGGCGAGTGTCCTGTGGGTGTGTCCTCCGGGCTCTCCCGGCCTGGTATTGCTCTTTGGGCCGAGTTGGCCGCTGGCGCCTCTGGTTGGTGGCGCTGCTGGTAGGCGGAGAGTGTGTCAGCTCCGACCTGAGTGAGTTCGTTCACACTGTGAGAGTAATTTGTCAGTCTGCGGATCCCGGCTTCTGGCTGCGGCGCTTCCCGCGTGTCACCCTGATTGTGCGGGTGGACGCTTCTGGCTGCCGGCGCTTCGGGGGGCGGCGGGTCTGGTCGCCGGCGCCTCCGGATGCCAGTTCAGGATGGGGCCGTGGCCAGTTCTGCTTCTGGCTGCCCTTGTCCCCGCCGCAGCCCTGGGCGCTGGTGAGTGGGGGTCGTTGGTCCCGGGGGGCAGGAGCCTGGGCCGATCTGGGGTCTAGGAGGGGCCCCCTGGGTGTCTTGGGGACCCTCTCAGGAGGGGCGTGGCCTCTGGGGGTATTCTTGAGGAGGAAGGTGGGGCTGGACTTGGCTGGTTACACGCCTTCCTGACACACTGATATATATTTTTGATGTATTGATGTTATTTAAGCAATAAAGTTGTGATCTGCTCTCTGGGCAATGCCCCACCCTCCCAGGTTGCCTTAACAGTCTCTCAGCTCTTTTCTGGTCCTGCATGTGGACCCCTCCTACTCCATCCCTCTCCCCCCACCCCCACTTTCTGGTCTCACCTGCTGCCCCCTCCCTGCTGCTCCCCTCCCTGACACTCTCACCTTCCTGCCACCTTCCCTTTCTGTTTCCCCTCCTTCCCAGCTGCCCCCCTTTCCAGCATCCCCCATCCCTGCTGCCCCCTTCCCTGCTGTCCCTCCTCTCTGTGTTCTAGGGTGTCGTCCTCTTCCTGACTCGTTTTCTTCCTCCCTCCTGCACCATTGCCTGCCAGGAGCCTTCACCTGATGGATCCTACCTCCCCCCATTTTACTAAGCCCTGCTTTCTGAGGGTGATTTTTTTTAAATTATTTATTTATACAAGAACCGGGGTACAGGCCAGATGTAGGGGAGGGTGAGAGGATTCACCAGAGACAGCAGGGAACAGCACAGGCAGACTGACGAAATACACTGTTGAAGGGAGCAGCAGACGAGACAGGAGAGGTCTGCCTCGTTATGTGGGACTCTCGCTGGCCGGCTGTGATCTAACCAGAGCTGCAGAGGCTGAGGACAGCTTCTCAGCGCTGAGCTCAACCGCCTGTACCACCAGGGGAGGCCCAGAGGGTGCTTTTTGCCTCTGGTCTCTCCCTCCATGCTAGTCCCCTACCCCAACCCCATCCCCATCAAGGAGAACCTGGGAGCTCTGTATCTTTGCCTTGACTGCAGGCACAGCGCCCCTGCACAGACCTGCCCTGTCCTCTGGCCTCAGCTCCCACCTTCAGCCAGTACAGCTCCTGCTCCTGAGCTCTCAGCACAGGCCCTTCCCCACCCCTCCTGTCCTCACCCCAGACTCTCTTTTCTGGTCAGCACCCCAACCCAGGCCCTGCTCATCTCTGCTCCCCAGTCCTGTCCTCAGTACCAGTCTCCCAGCTGCCTCTTTATCGTGCAGCATCCCGCCCTCCCCAGACCTGAGAGCTGCTCCTGATGCGGCTCCTCTTCGGTCTTTACCCTCTTGGGTTCCTTGACCCCAGTGGGCTCTCGCTCCTCACATCACAGATCCGCCACCCTATGGCAGCCTCCCCTCCCCTCTACCCCCCACCCTACTCCCATCTGCCCCTAATGGACACAGCCCTGTCTGTGCAGGGGCCTCATGGCCACCTGCATCACCCCACACTGCAGCTCTCCCCTCCTGTGGCCTGGCCATCTGCTGGGCATTGAAGTTCTGCTCCCCAGGCCTCCCCAATCTAAACTCTCCCTGGGCCCACAGGCTGACTCCCAGTCCCTGCACCTGCCTCTCCCCCGGTCACAGACAGGTTCATCCACCTCCCCAACCTGTCCTTGAGGAACCACAGCCCGGCCTGGCTCATGTGGCCTCCTGCCTCTCACCACAGCTGCTCTGATCTCTGACCCCTGCCCTGGGCCTTCACATGCCCTCCCTTCTCTCTGATAAGAAACCCCAGTGCTCCTAGGGACCCAGTGACCCCTTCTTGGCCTCTGACCCCAGTTTCCCTTCTCCATCCTTTTCATCCACCATCACCCCTCTCCTTCCTTCCTTTCTTTTTGAGATTTATTTTCTTACATAATTGCTAATTTTTGTACAGAATTTGATTTCCCCTCTCAGGTGCAGTCCCCTTGGTCCATCACCCCATCCCTTGTGCTCTCCCTCCCCAGTTCTGCCCCTCCCTGCCCCTGCCTGGGCCCTCTCCTTCCTTCTCCTTGCCTGTGTCCTGTACTGCGAATCCTCCTCCTGTCCCTACGAACACAGCCCTGTCTGCAGCCCCCAGGCCTCCAGGGCTCAGGATGCGCAGCCTCGGGTGACTCTGAAGCTCAGGTAGCTCCTACCTGCCTCACTGAGGATTTCTCCCCCCAGGACCCCACAGGCTTCAGTATGAGCTCATGGAGACCCAGGATGCCTCGCTGTACTCGCAATTTGTTGCCAAGGAATACTTGGACGATCAGCTCATCCTGCGCTACAGCGGTGGGAACAACAGGCCCGAGACCCCAGGCCTGCTGGCACTAGTTATCCTGGGAGCTGAGCCGGAGGACACAGTGACCAGTGGCTTCACAGAGGACAGGAGGGGCCTCCTGATGAAGCTGGCAGATATCAGGGAAAAGCAGAGCCAGAGTGGAGGTGAGAGGGGCAAGCATGGGGGGCCTTTCCCAGGACAGTTAGGACAGCCGGTGGGGCCTGTCTCTTTCCACTGGATTTTCACAGGGTGGTGTGAGAATGAGGGGGTGTGGATTTCAGCACAGAGGTGAAGTCTATGCAGCCAGCACAGGGAGAGGTGGGGAAAGTGGGGGCGGGGGTGGTGTGAGTTACCTGGGAACCAGAGGGACAGACACAGGACTGGGGGAGTCACCCCTGTGTCTGTGTTGGGGGTAGGCTCCCGTTCCCTCCAGGAGGTTCGGGGCTGTGAGATCCAGGAAGACAACACCACCAGGGCCTTCAGGCGCTTCTTCTATAATGGGGAGCCCTTCCTCTTCTATAACGAGACGACCCATGAATGGGAAGCACCCCAGTCCTCGGTTCTTCCCTTGGCTGTGGAAGTCAAGAACTCCTGGGACACAGATAGGATTGGAAGCCAGAATTCCTGGGCCCTTGTGCGTGGTGACGTTTGTGGAAAACTGCGGAGATACCGGGAATCCTGGAAGGCCTTCACTAAGAGCACAGGTGAGACTCTGGGCACCCCATACCCCCCAGCCCGTCTCCCAGCTCTGCCCAAGGGGACCCTCCAGTACCTGGGCTGCCTGAATGGTCTCAGGGGTGTGGTGTCGTGAGGTGCCTGCACTGTTATGCCCCAGGGTGAAACACGAGGCGGGGAGGGCACAGACTCCAGGGAGCTACGGAACACTGAGCTGGAGCACGGGGGTCAGGAAGGAGGGGATGACCTCAGGCTGGACGTCACCCTGCTAGCTCCCAGTCAGTCAGTCCTTCCTGGTCCCCCCGTGCAGGAGCCCACCCCTCGCGTCCCCCTCCTCAGCTTCAGCATGTGGGTTCCAGGCCATCCTCCACCAGTCTGAGGAGCTGGGCCCCAGGGTGCAGAACCAGAACCACCTGGGGAAGGCTCTGACCCAGTGATGGAGGTGGGAGGAGCAGTCTCTGTCTTTCCTCTCTCCATCTCCCTCACTGGGGAGCAGGGCTTGGCCTTGTGTTTCACTGACTCTGTGCTTTCTTCCTGGTGCCGCCAGCTGTGAATGCCACCTGCAGCCAGGCCTCCGAGGGCGTGGTCAATGTGACCTGCTGGGCATCTGGCTTCTCTCCCTGGAATATCTCACTGGTCTGGCTTCAGGACGATGAGCCTCTAAGCCCAGATGCCCAGCTGTCTGGGGGTGTCCCGCGTGATGAGAACAGAACCTATTGGGCCTGGGTGGCCCTAAGGATTCCCCAAGGAGAGGAGCAGAGGGTCACCTGCTCTGTGGAACATTACTGGAATTGCACTGTGACCTGTGGTGAGCCTGGGGTGACCTGTGGGGTTGGACCTTGTAGGGCCAGGAGCCAGGATAGGGGTGGAGAGCAGGCGTTGGCTCTGGGTGCTCAGGTTAAAATAAGACCTTTTTTAGGAAACGTGCAGGTACATCAGAGTCCACGGCCAGCTGTGTCCCGGGGTATCGCTGTCGCTGCCACTTTCACTGTCCTTGTCGCTGCTGTCCTTCTTTATAACTTTTGGCTCAGGAAGACATCAGCTGGGGAGCGTCCAGGTGAGATAGGGGGCTGTGGATGGCAAGGGAGGGGCTCTTCTGCCTGTGACTAGGGTGTCATGTCTCCCACTCTGCAGCTAGGAGAGGGATGACTGGCCTCTGTAACAGGACTTGGAAGTGGGGTCCTTGTGACGGGTTTGGGGGCCACCTCTATGCCCTTAACCCTGCCCAGAGCCAGGGCCCTGAGTGTGCAGCCGGGGCCTCCCTCCTGGAAGGTGTATGGGGTTGGCAGAGGCCATGTTCCCTGCTCAGTCTCCTCAGGCTTGTCCCTGCTGTCAGGCTCCCCAGGGTTTGTGGGGGTGTGTGGGAACCATGGGCATGTTGGGGGAGGGGCTGGGTGATCCTAGACTTGGGTAACAAGCATTAAGATCACCTGTGACCTCGTGGGTGGAATAAACTCTGGGGAGAGTGGGGCTCTGAGCGCCACAGTGAGGGGCTCAGTTGGGCAGGTCTATGGGTCTCCTGCTCATCTACCTGACACCCCTTACTCTTGGGTCAGAATGTTGCTGCTTTTGTCATTGAGACTTGGGTGCAAAAAGAATATGAAAGTCATGAGCTAATTTCCAAATTTCCTTCTTTAAACTTTGCAGTCCAAAGCAGATGCTTATGACTGTCATTGGTTAGCCTTAACGGGGGGCTTCCTCCAATGCTGGGTCTTGGGATGCGTATTAAGTGAACAGTTCTCTGGGGAGCTCCCTGTTTAAGAAGGTTCCAGATGGGAGGTGGGGGGTGGTAACACTGACAGTCCAGGGTCAAAGAGGACAGACCTAGCCTCAGGCTAGGGGTCTCCAGAGTCCCTCACTGCACTGAGAAGCAGACCCCCTAAGGCTGTGAGCCAGTGCCTGCACAGGAGGGAGGGCCTGGGAGCCTCAGCCAGGCAGCAGCATGGGGTGGAGCTCAGACTCCAGGCACTAGGGCCAAGTGTAGCCTGAGATCCTGAGGGGGCCGCGAGGGTCCCTGCAGGGCTGACCTGTGTGAATTGCTCCAGGGTCCATCAGCCACCTAGCTTGTCACCTGAGACCCCAATGGCCATGCAGTTAGAGCTGCTGGTCAGGGCTGGGGCAGGAGCAGGCTGAGCTGCAGGGGAGGTCAGGGGTGTGTGGGGGACTGGGGAGGGAGCAGGCAGTGGCCCTGGGTGCAGGTGGCTGTGAAGAGAGGAGGCTGGGAGCTGGGACAGGTGATGATGTGGTGGAGTCAGGAGCAACCGAAGGGGAATTCCTGAAGGAACAGGAGGCAATATTCTGCAGCCAACTGAGCATTTACTGGTGTCTCTTTCCCCAGGGCCCTCTTCCCCCTGAGCCAAGTGGTGACAACGGACCTTCACGGCACCAGGGCTCAGGGCACCAGGGCTCAGGGCACTCGGCCTCTCTTGTCAGCGCCTGAGTTCAGGGACTCAACTGCGGGCACTTAGGGTCTGCACATCCGGCCTGGACTCACTGCCTGGGCTCCTCTCACCAGCACTTTCTCTTGGTGCCTCCCTTTTCTCATCTAAAATTAGATGACAGCATTCTCTGTCTCTGTCTCCTCTGTACCTCCTGAGGGGTCCCACAGCAGCTTTCCTTTGTGCTCTGTCACTTTGTATGGCTGTGCGGGTTATGTAATATGTATATACAGTGTATGTGTATATGTGTATATCTGTGTGTATATATTTAGGTACATACCTATAGATTTCAATTTTTACAATTTTATAAATCTTTAAACATACATATCTGGTGTGTGTATTATTTCATGTGGCTGGGAAGGGATAGTATGAGGTTGTGGGGAGATGGAGAGGTAGATACAGCGCTAAAAATCCCCAGCTCCCGCCCCCCAGCTCCCAGTCCTGCCAGACTCACAGGAAAGCACAAAGGGCTGGAGAAGCTGAAATGGGGCGTCTGGCGCCAGTGCTCAGGGGCTGAGTCTGGGGGAATCTGCCCTGATGGTGGGAGCTCATATGAGGGAGCAGAGCTGATCTTGGGAGGAGACAGGGACAGGGTATTGGGGTGACCTTGTGACAGGATAATCCCCAGGGTTCCTTCCCCCCCCCCCCCCCCCCGCCCCCAGGAAGGGTGGGGTTGATCAGGGAGGAGAAGCTAGAAAAGACCCAGACCCAGAGAAGGCAGGAAGGGGATCTTGAGTGAGGCACAGGGGCAGACACATATGAAGAAGCGGCACTTGCTCCTTGGTCTTGGCTTGTACCAGGGATGGGGGACATGGAAGGAGACACTTGAGACAGAAACGTGGGTGAGAGACCGTGGGGAGGCTGACGATGGCAGCTTTTACTTGATTTCAATTTTGATTTTTGTCTCCTTTCCTTGAAGACTTGCCTGGCCCCTTCTACCTCCTTCCTATGGTTACACACCAGAATGTGCCAGAGACTTTTGGCAAGATTTTGAGCCTCAACAGTCCTGCTTTCGGCCAACCTTGTTTGGGCATTTACCCACGAGGGGATGGGTAATTTTGGATGTTTGATTTGGAAAATTCTTTCCTACACTCTATTGCACACAAATTGTATTAAAGTTCCTCTGCAGGGAAGGTCTCATGCACTAGATGATGTTTGTGTTGATGAGGCAGATGGCAGGAGGCATTTAGCAGGCAGGTTTGGGGTTCCTGGGGTGCCCCTCCCCTTGCCCTGTGACAGCCACACGTTGCAGAACAGGGCTCAGTCCACTAGGATGAAGTGGCTTCTGGGCGTGTGTAGACTGTTGAGGTGAGAAGCGAACACGGATGTGGATGAGCACACATAGCCCCAGCATCTCCCCCCAAGTTCTGTGAGATTTCTACAAGAGGGAAATTTCTGCAAGGGAGATGAGGGTTCCCCATCTGAGGATCATGCTTCCTCACTTCAGGGGGCTCGCCGACAGTTGGTACTCTTCTTGGTCAGGAATGACTTACCCCTACCAGGTTAAACACTGATGACAGCACTGGGGTGGGGGTTTGCACCACCCACAAACCTAACGTTTGAGGGGAGCCCAGTGGGCAGCAAGACCTGCATGGAAGGAAGAGGAGGATGAAGGTCCTGTTCCCCTTACCTAGGTTCACAGGGTGGACAGCAAGGAAATTGGAAAAGAGAATTCATGGATAGATCTTTTCAGATTGTGTGTGTTGACATACTTTTTGTGTGTTTTTATTCAGGGTTGATGTCACTCAGCATTCAGGCTTGCATTCTGATATTTTTGCATTTCAGCTAGCAGCAAGTGTCTTTTGTACTCAGTTGTCATCAAGTAAACTTTATACTCATGCAACTTTTCGCTTTTATTTGAATCAGTCACAACTGTTTGTAATTAAGATGCAAATATTTGTGCAAGATTTCTCTTGAAATTGACACCCTTGTAGTCCTCTTCTCAGCTTTGCCTTCCTCCAGGTAACTATTTTCAATATTTTTAGATGATTCTATTGGCTTTTTACTTTCATATACCTAAATTCCATGTCTTTAGTACTGCTGCTTGATTTTCTGGTTGTGGCATCCATCAGTGACGGATGTAATTGTTAATAGTAGAAATTTTCTTTTTCTTTTCTTCTTCCCACTCCTTCATAGAGTGGTTGCTTCCCATAGAGTGATTATATTTAGTGAGTCATTCAGTATTTTCCTTTCCATGACTAGTGCTCTCATATGTAAATATTAGTCCATGTAGCTGCTGCACAACTTTCTATTCTCCCTGGAGTTCATAATTGCCTTTGGTTTTTTCTGTCATTTTATATGTACTTTCATAGTTCGAATTTGGTATTTATTCTGCTGTATGACTTCTTTTTAAAGATTGATTTATTATTTATGTATACCAGAACTGGGGTACAAAGCACAGGTGGGGGGATTCACATAGTCAATGTGGGGAACAGAACAGGCAGACTTACTAAATACACTACCGAGGGGAGCAGCGGGCGAGACAGGAGAGGTCTACTGTGCCATGTGGGTTGTTCCCTGGCCGGGAATCAAACTCATGCTTCAAGGCTGCAGACAGCTTCATACGTTGAGTTTTAACCCTTTGCACCACCAAGGAGGCCCCTCTATTGTATGATATTGAAGAAGTGAGGACACTGTAGGTATTTTACCCATTTTACCTTCATTCTTCCTGGACCCCTCTGACATGCGCCCATCTAGATTGGATTCTTTTATGCGCCCATCTGTAGAGACTCTGGTCCCTCCCTGGCCCTGCCCCTGGTCCTGTCCCAGACAGAGGGCGTGGCTCCCTCTGTGTCCTCTCTGGGAGAAGAAAACCTAGATAGTGTGACTCCATTATAAGCCTTTGCTAATTACTGGTTATTTTATCTCTCTATGTTATTGAAAGTAATGTTAGGTGGGTTCCAGTTTGCTGGCAGTATTAGTGAGATAGGAAGCTCATTAACTTTTTTGCCCAGTGTGATAAGGAGCTGGGAACCCAGAGCGCTAGGCAGGAGGATTTTGACTTGGAGCTCCAGGCTCAGGGACAACATCCTCCAGGGAAGTGTCAGTCAGCCCAGGCAGCCTATGGGAGCAGGCTCGGCCCAATATCGCTCCCTTGTGGCTACGGTCTTCCTGTGCCCAGGTCAAGCAGGACCTGAGCTCAGCCTGACCTTGATGTTCTTCGCTGTTCCCCAGGCCTGAGTCCACCTTCCCACAGAGCAGTAAAGCCTGAGGGGGACTATGTGGGATGGAAGGGTGTCAAACCTGGGGAGATCCCTGTCACCATGCTCAGGGGAGAGCTAAGCCTACCTTCCCATGCTGAGGGAGACTTGGACCCTGATGGTCCTACAGAGAGGGAGCTCCTGCGCCTCACCCTGCAGGAGAAGCTGAGGGCCTGCTGGCGGTGAGGGAGGCTTCTCCTCAGCTGTGTGCTGGTCAGGGCTACTCAGGGTCAAAGACTGAACTGCGGACATCACCTCAGCTGTTGGAAGCTAGAGGCTCACCCAGGGGTGCTGTTTCCCCAGGGGGTCATTGGGCTTCCAGTTCCTCCAAGTGCTCAGATGTCTGCAAGATGGTAGCAGATTCTGTGTAAATCAGACATTTTAATATTTTCTTACTAGACATAGGCTTTTACAAAAAT